CGTGTGCAAGTTGCGCACGTTAAAGATCCCTTGGTGGTCGAAAATCTATAAGAGTAGACTTCGGCTGCCATCCGAGCAAAAATTCAAAATTTCCTACCAACTGAACAGTTTAAATGTGTCCTGCTCGCTCATATAACTTTATTATGCAGTTGTGAGTGCCGTAAAATACATACCAAAAGAAAAAAAAAGCTCACAAAAAGGAAGTCATTATACCTTATTTTATTATTATTATTATTATTATTATTATTATTAGTATTATTATTATTATTATTACTATTATTAAAGGGAGGCAGATCAACGTGACCACGACCATTTACTACCAGCAAGGCAAATGGACACATCCGAGGGAGAGAAAAGCCCGTCTCCCGAATGATCTAAGTTGTGCCTTTGGGGGCGTAAAACATCTACATGTACATTAAAAAAGGAAATCTAAACTCCTCTTCAGCGTGTGGTTGTATGAACAACAGACTTAAGGTGCCAGGGTCTTGTATGATGAGGGCACAAGGCATCAAGAACGGGGAGCTGCACTGTTGCAAGTTTGTTTAATAAAAGTTTGTTTGTTGATCACGTATTCGCTTTGTGTGATAAACGGTTTGCTTGTTTATGTAAAGAGAAAAACATTGACATAATAGTGGTCATTTAATGCAGGCCAAAAGTGAAAATAACAAATAGAATCAACAAATGGAAAAAAATGAAGTATGACCTACCAGCCGTAACCTCATACCCCAAAATTGTGTTTGTTATATTCGTGACTATTATAGAACTGCATATGCCTCGCAAGACAAAAACCTCGAATTCTTATTTTGTTATATATTTTTTCAAGAGGCTTAAGCATTTGACAAAATCTTCAAGTCTTTTCTAATCAATCTAGGCTACTGTTTTACTCCCTCTATAGACAAACAACGATGCAGCCTGTTAGCTACATACTGCTACCGTGTCTGTAAAATAATTATATCCCTATTGACCGTCAGGCCACCATGTAGCTGAATGGACTTTGAAATATATGGTAATTTATTTTTCTTAAGAACAGAACGTTCTGTTGGACGAAACCTTTGCTAGTTTTCAATGTAATATTATGGTGCATTTCTTCCCAATGTTGGAGGATTTAATGTGGTTATGACTGAAAAAATTTTCATCCCTTTCAACGCTGTATCGATTAATAATAATAATAATAATAATAATAATAATAACAACATATTATTATTATTGAAAAAGTAATCCCTCACTACCACGAGTTCATAGGATCGGGGATGTTTTACGCTACTTTCAAACAACGCCCAGATACACGGGTAACATTTAGCGATAGAATACAGCCAAAAAGAGGCCCGGAATAAAAAGAAGAAGAAAAAAAAGCTATCTGTCTGGAGTTCCCGTAGGGAAATTTGTTTTATAGTGGCAGCTCTATCTCTTTGTGTAATGCATCAAAGCAGGATGCTTATAAATATGACTCGAAAGTGTATGCGTGCATGTCTGTGTGCGTGTGTGTGTGTGTGTGTGTGTGTGTGTGTGT